TACACTCCCTCCCTCATATCCCTAAAGGGAGTACACTCCCACCTTCCCTCCCTCCCTCCCTCTCTTCTATCCCTCTCTCCCTTCTATCCCTATAGAAAGTACACTCCCTCCCTCCCTCCCTTTTATCCCTAGAGGGAGTACAGCTTTGTCTAAAGAGGTTCAAAGGACTCAATACTGTATACAAGACTACAAAACCTACTTACCCTCCATGTTATATTCAGTTTATTCCAGCTGACAGGAACAACATTAACCAACACCTTGGCAGTGTGGACAGGAAAAGGTTTTTTAGTTGCCACTGGGACAACTTTGACAACTGGTGGAACTACTTTCTTCTTTTGGCRTGTTCTCACTTCTACGAAATTCCTTTCACTCGAGTGCATCTTTGTTTTTGACCTTACTGAAAAGATGTACCTTGTTTCAGCTTCAAGACCAGTAACAAAGAATCGATTGACTGTGACTGACTTTCCAGCCATTTTCCAGGGCTTGGAGGGCGATTGACTTGCCTTCTTGTATTCCACTATGTAAGTTACAGGATGTCGTCCTGGTTTGACTGATGACCATAAGAGAAGGACGCCATTGGAGGTAATGTTGATGGGGAACAGATCAGATGGAGATTTGAGATCTGTGACTTGTGAAGTTGTAGGTTGTGTTGTGGTTGGGATGGTGATAACAGGTGACCAAGTTGTGGTTACAGCTGCAAGATTAAAAAGAAAATGTTACTTGGTGCGAAAAAATAGCTGTAGGTATTGAGTAAGGCAGAAAACTAGAGAACACAGAGAAAAACTTTTGAATGAAGGGAAAGACCTAACAAACTCTACTCATATGTGACGCTGAGTCCAGGAATCCAACTTTAGAACCCATAGGTGAGAGGAAGGCTACCACTATTCCCCTAATATTAATTACATTATTATTAACACTATTATTATCATCATTGTTATCATCACCATCTTCTTCTTCTTCTTCTTCTTCTTCTTCCTCCTCCTCCTCCTCCTCCTCCTCCTCCCCATTATCATTATATGATACTAACAGCGCTTTCCATTAAGTCCAATTGGCCAGTTCGAGCGGCGAGTTCTCAAATGGTACGGGTCAGTTCTTATTAGTTTTTAGAACTTAGTCAACCAGTTCTATAGGACTGATGCGTACCATTGAGAATTGGCCGCTCAGAATGGTCAGTTTGACTTAATGGAAAGTGCCCTAAGTACAACATTTAATGATGGCCTTATCAACGGTAGGTGATTTTCAAAAGAGACCTCTAAAAAGGTCTTTAATACCCTTGATACCTAAATGATAACAGAAATATACTTACTGATAACAGAAAGGTATGCTTTGCCAGAAACAGTGCCTAGAGTGTTATTAGCTGCACAAGTGTATACACCCTTATGACCTATATGACCACGCCTTATAGTCAGCCGAGACCATGAACCAGATGAAGTGATATGTATAGTGGAGGTGTTCTTTAATGGGTTGGACAAGCTGTCTCTAAACCAATGTATCGTTGGTCTGGGATTACCACTAAATGCACATGAAAAGTGAACGTCTTCAAACTCTTGAATGGTTTGGTTTGATGGTGGTGTTAGGATTGCTGGTTGGGTGTCCGTTTTGCCTAAAGTTATGATTATAGGGAAAAGTTAATAAATGAATGATACGTTTTGGAGTTCATAAATAAAAATGTGAAATAAATAGGTGCTTGTCTTATGGAGCTTTTACATTGTGACATATTTGTAGGCCGAACTGCTGGCAAAAAAAAATTGCTAAAATAAAACGGAAAATGTTCTCAATTATTTACCCTCCACCTGAAATAATTAAAACTTTGGGCAACAAATCTTGTCACGAAGAAAGAGTAAGAAAAATCTTTACATAACTGGTTTTTGTTTTGAACATGGAAGTTGTTTTTCTGTGATTGATGTCACACTTAAAAGCTCTATTGCATCATGCGTGTGTGCAGGGTGCGTGCATACATGCAATAAAAAAACAAGTGAAGTCAACCAAGTCAATCACTGACAAAGTATATACATGTACAGTGTATTCACCAATTAGATCATAACCATTTCTATTTCATTTTACTTACCAACAACATTAAGTCTAGCGCTTGCACTGCTTGCTCCCAGTCCAGCAGGACTTAAGGCAGAACACAGGTATTCTCCTGCATCTTCCTTCTTTACATCAGTGATAGTCAGCCTCCCTGATCCGTCAACAAGGAACCTTCCATACCGTTGAACTGGGAACATTGGTTTTCCTTGGCCTTTTTTCTCCCAGAAGACTATTGGTTGTGGTTTACCTGACGCCACACAAGAGAAACTGGCATCGTTGCCTTCTTTGATGATGACATCGGATGGTTTCTGGGTGATGACTGGTTTGGCTGCATTAGGAAAGATTGAACTTTGGTTTGAGTTGCAGACAAGTAAATGCTATAATTATTACAGCAAACAAATATATGGAATGTTAGTCATAGGCCAGGGTTAACCAAATACAAATAGAAATTAATTTTAATATTTATTTATCGTTAAATGTTTAGACAAAATTCCACATTCCAATTAACACATTCCCAGCTATAGTGTAATTATATTCAAACAGAAATACACTTACTGCAGGGGCGTAGTCAGCATTTCCCGAAAGAGGGCCCAAATTCAAAAAGTCACCATTTTGTTTGGGCCCTCGGAACACACACTGAATCAAATTTATGTATCAACAAACATGAACAACACAAGACTAACAAGTGCGAGCGGTACACAAGAATGATTCAAATAAAATGGAAGTTGCACAAAGTTTACAAGAAATGAATAGTACCTGAAGGAGAAGCACTCGTAGGAGGAGATGTTGGATCTAATTTAGGTGCAGTAGTGAAATAGGGATAAGTATAGGCATGTGGGTTAGTATAGGTTAGAATTAATATCCAAAAGAATGCAGCAAGAATATGCTCTTGAAAAGATTTATAAAAGGCCATTAGTAAACAAGCAAGTTGATTCCCATTTCCATTCTATTAAATAATAGAAAGAATAGATGCAATGCAAAGAAAATGTTAGATTAAAGCTGACCAAACAGAGGCTGAAAGTACAAACAAATGATCTTCAAAAAAGCATAAAAAATGCATCAGGTCAAATTTAAATGCAAGGGTTTTTGGTTTTTCTCACATCTTTTTATCATTTTTCTTATATTTTTTCCCGAAAGTTGGTCCGGTTTTGGACCAACTGTACTGGCGGCTATAGCCATGAAATGTCAAATTTCATGCGTTAAATCTAATGCAAACGAATTTAAACAATAGGTTTTGCTCATTTGCATTAGAATTGGCAAAGGGAATTTGATTACAATAGGCCTCAGTCACATACCCCAGTCATGTACCCCTTATAACGGTGGCTTTGCAAAAGTGCATGGATGTAAATAAAAAGTGGATATAAAAGAAAGAAAATCCCAAAATACATACTTTGAACTTTGAGTGTTGCTGTTGCACTTAATCCACCAGAAGATGTTACGCTGCAGACATATTCTCCTTCGTCGTCGGGCTGAACCTTTTTCAGCAATAGGTCACCATTCAGTTTGGTTTCATGGCGTTCAAAAGGTAGTGTTCCACCCTTTCTTTGCCATCGTATTGCAAGCAGTGGCCCATCTCGGTATTTGCATTGGAATACCACATCTTGACCAGCAGTTACAGTTTTTTCTTTTGGCTGGACACTTAGTGCAGTTGAAGGTAACTCTGATTAAGGAAATGCAAATGCGAATTCATACACCTTGATATTCACATCAGCAATAACTGCAATCTACTAAAATCATCGCCAATATTTTAGTCTACTATAAATAGAATGGAGGCATTTAACCCGTGAAAAAAAATACTAGTCAACGTGTAATGGTCAAATAGCCACAAAAGAACAATGGAATTAGGGTCTACTAAAGTGTATTAGTCTAATATCTATTGCACGGATTTAGTGACTTCACTCTAGTCAAATAGACACGAAAGAAGACAATGGAATTAGGGTCTACTAAAGTGTATTAATCTAATATCTATTTCACGGGTTTAGTGACTTCACTCTAGTCAAATAGCCACAAAAGAAAACAATGGAATTAGGGTCTACTAATGTGTGTTAGTCTAATATCTATTACACGGGTTTAGTGACTTCACTCTAGTCAAATAGACACGAAAGAAGACAATGGAATTAGGGTCTACTAAAGTGTATTAATCTAATATCTATTTCACGGGTTTAGTGACTTCACTCTAGTCAAATAGCCACAAAAGAAAACAATGGAATTAGGGTCTACTAATGTGTGTTAGTCTAATATCTATTGCATGGGTTTAATGACTTCACTCTATTGCATGTGACTGCTACTAGTGATATCAATATTGAAATCAATGTGCAGTTACATGTTTATACAACATATCACACAATGTCATTGCATTACAAGTTGTAGAATGAGCAGATGTTGCTCATATTAATAATTTGAATACCTCCAACAATTAATTTTCTTTATTGCAAAGATTAGAGAGAAGAGAAGCTTTTATCATTCAACAAAGAAAGAGTGGACAGTGACTAGCTACTTTGTAGAAATGCCACTAAATGCCAATCTATTGATTTTATTTTTTAATGAGTCAACCTACAACTCAACAGACTTTGAAAAGTCACACGCATTAATTGCTGCATTTTTCTAATAAAGATTATGAATAACAAACAAACTTACCATTGACTATAAGCCTGGCAATGTCACTTTTCCTTTGTCCTAGTGGATTGGTAGCAAGGCATTTATACTCTCCCTGGTCTGATTTTTTAACTACCGTAATACGCAAGCTACCCGGATCTATAATGCGCACTCTGCTGCCATCTGGGGTGACATTTTTCCCATCTTTTAACCAGGATACCACTGGAGGAGGCTTGCCTCTAGGTGGGTTACACTTGAGAGTTACTTCGTTTCCTACTGTCACTGTTTTATCCTTGGGTTGTGTCTTGAACTGTGATCTTAAAACTGTTGGGTGAAGAAGGCCAATATACTCAGAACCAATTCAGCTTTCAAGGGCATAATGCATAAAGCACTTGGTGATTGGCAGAATACTTGAGAAGGCTGACAAGAACTCTGTTGTACATTTAACTCTTCTACTAACACTGTCTTCTCTTGTGTTTTGCCAATAGACCGTTTTCAAATTTGATTATAGAACGAATTCAGCTTTCAAGGGAATAATGCATAATGCACTTGGTGATTCAATGACAGAATACTTGAGAAGGCTGACAAGCACTCTGTTGTACATTTAACTCTTCTACTAACACTTCTCCTGTGTTTTGCCAATAGACCGTTTTCAAAGTTGATTTTATAAAATACTGCTGTATTTTTTGATTATAGACTCATTTATACAGGGTTAGCCTTATTTCAGTGTATAAATATTTACAAATACCAATGGTAAAGTAAAGAATGCACAACTTCAACAGTACAAACACTTTAAAATTTGACAAACCTGGACTGGAACACATGAAAATTCAAAATAATTTCATAATAAATCAAGGCTAACCCTGTAGGACAGAGAATTCAAAACTGGAGCATCCTCACATACATTATACAGCTGTATGTGACTTTACACAGCATGAGTTGTCCAACTGTCAGTCAATTAGCAGTGACTTATAGACCGACTGTCAGCCGTTAGGTAGCAACATTTTAGAAACTGTCGGCTGCATGACGCCAGATTAACAGTGGGATGTCAACCAACCACAGCCATTTATAGGCTGACAGTTGGTCAACATGGTTGGGGTGCTGTTCTCAGGTATCACTGAGTTTATTTCTTCATTGTCTTACTTACCTCCTACTTGTAAAGTAGCATTCCTACTAATAGCCTTGCCAGCTCTATTAACAGCAACGCACTGATAACGACCTGCATCTGTACGTTTTCTCTTACTTATGACTCTAAGAAAAGTCAGATCTCCTATTGGCATAACATATCTACGGCCTTCCTTGTCATCTGCACCTGTAGGTAATCGTTTGCCATTGAGAAGCCAATAAATCTGGGGTGTTGGGTCTCCTGTGGCTCTACATTTAAGCTCAGCATTAGAATTTTTGGCAACAGTGAGATCCGATGGTTCTTCAATGATGCTAGGGATGATATCTGTTAAAAGATTAATAATATTATAGAATTAAGATGTATGGAACTTATAGTAATCACACTGGAATGACATACATTATGATTCATTAGTGAAAACAGAGACTGATAGTTTGAACTAAAACTAAAGTAAATGTTCTATCCATGTTGTTATAAATGAATTGACAGAAATGTATGAAAAATATAGAAAATTTGAGAGTTTTAAAGAAGTTTTAATAATTGATTATCTTTATCTGGACAAATTTTTTATAGTATGATAGCATAAAACAATGCCCTGAGAGCAGAGGCTCTTTTCTACCTCATTTGCTATTGGGAGAAAAACTTTCTTCACTGGGTACATGGATAAAAGTGAAGACCTGTAATATTTATTTTACTTTGAAACTGCAAGGAGTGGTTTCCCAATTATCCCAAGCCAGGGGCTCATGATAAAGATTCAAAGGTGTGCCCTTCACCCCCTCTCTTCATCAGCTCTTTATTTTAAGAGTATTCAAAGCTAAAGCTGTAAAGAATAGTGAGAAGTTGAAACAGATGTGGAGAGAGCTCTGAAGGCTGTGCACTAACCAATCTTTCAATTCTAAAAAAAAACTTTCAATTTACCTGCAGCAAATGAAGGCAGTTGACCATTAATCACGACCAACAGCAATACCTGAACCAATTCTTTCCAATTAAACATCCTTCCTTTGATTACTTTATTCTTTACAGATTCATGAAATCATCTTCAACACAGAGACAGACCTTGAAAACAAACAGAAAACATGTTAATAATGCAAAGCTGAATAAGCAAAGCTAAATATGATAATGAAAACAAATTGGTTTAGTAACTAATGCAAATGTAGAGGGTTTATTGATTTTAGTATGAATTTTATCATTGTGTGAGAGTCCTTAATCAAGGCTTGTGCACTTAATGGCTTACTAATTGAAACACTTTATTACTTACTAATTGAAACTTTTTTTTTTTTACTTAGAAAGCAGAATTGATTGCCATCTGCATGTAATTAAGAGAAATGAACCTGGTATCTGTTCTGTCCAGAATGGAAGTCATGACCTTTTATCCTACATTAATATTATTAATTATATTTATGACCAAAATAAGCACCATATCCTATCACCATTATTATCATCAAAGCCTTGATACTATTATCCTTATCATCTGCAGTATATTCAGAGCTTAAAATAAAAGCAAGTTTTTCAGTCAAATCTTTCCTTGCCAATATTTTTGACCAGTAAAATTGAGCCAGAAATTGGGTATGTTCAAGCTAAAACTGATTTGTGCAGTGATATGACCRGCGACTTACTGACTGCCGCTATTTTACGCCCTGCTATTCTATTAACTAATATCTTATCAAGCCAACCTGGTAGTAATTTAATGTAGAGTGACTGGATCATATTATATGGGCAACATAATGGTAATACTATACTACAAGATGTACTTTTACAACAATCATGACAAGAGAATAAATGATCAGTATGTGCTATATGTAAAGAGTAAGCAAATGTAAGGTGTAAAAGACAAGTAAGTGTTGAGGGAGAACAGATCGTAATGCTCACTTCTCTGACCTTAGTGTTTGGTTCTCACACTCTAGGCCACTTGAAATTAAAACTACAAAGTTTGTCTTCCGTGGTAGCTAATTCGTTAAATTTTGAGCACTTCTTCTCAGGGATCTTCATAAAGTTTTGAAATAATAGGAGAAGATCACCATAGCTTAAGCTGGAAAATTTTGCTCACTTCCTTCAGCATTCTAATGAAACCATTGCTTTCTTGACTCATCACAAACCTTATACAAGCATTTATTTGTTCATTTTTACAAATATCTCATAGGGATCTTACATATAACATGGTTTGTAATTCAGAGGAAATAAGAGCTAAAAAAAGACTTTAGCTGATCAATACTTTAAAATACCAAGAAGCTTATCCAAAAAAAAAGCTTTGAAACACATTTAAGTCCCACACCTTATCCAATTCATCATTAATGTAAACTAATTATTGTTATCAATGTGAAACAACTGACTTGAAAGTAAGCTTACAGGAAAGAAACGATCAAAGAACAAAACAACACACACAAAAGGAAAAAATACATTAAAAAGGACAAGAAATTAGGGGATGAAAAAATTAAGAATCAAATGAATAAAATATTCTTAATTAAGGAAAAATAATATATAGTTGAAATGAACTTTCCATCATACAAAAATATATAATGGGGAAAAAATATTTCTTAAATATTGTTTGTTTTTTTTAGTACTCTTGCTTAAATAAAAAAATTAAAAAAATTAAGTACAAATATATAATCAGTTATTTCAATGAACCATTTTTGTTTCCTAAAACTATAAAGTATAATAAAAAATAATCTAATCTGGAACACATTCAAACTCATACAAATTCATAATACATTTTACTTTATAATCTTGAATCTGGTCTTTAAGTGYACTACAAGATATTTTCTTAGAATATATTCATCAAACAAGGAAGTTGCAGGACATTACAGGATATTGTAAATAAAAGATAAATATTACAATGACAATCTAATGTGGTGACAAGCTCTTCATCTTTTGAATTCTAGAGTATGTTACATATAATAGAAAGAATATTGATGCACTAAATACTTTAAAAGATATATAAATAAATTTAAAGCACTTTCTCACTAGTTGGGGCACTTTTTCACTCACACACACTGTGCTATATTCAATATTCTATGCAGAAACCACTATGCAAAAGACACCCAACTCACATGTTGATATTTATGGAGGGTGAAAAACAGCTTTACTTTGACATAGAAGATAAGACAATAACTGTGCAGTGTATTCCCTATTCTTTCTACAAAGCATTAATAAATGACATTGAATTTGGAATTTACCCTCCCAAAAATTTTATCAAACGATTAAAAAAAAAATTAGCTTTGATTATAGTCAGTTTTGTTCTAGTACTGAAAGTTCTACCCTTTATTCAACATTGTTCTGATTTTATCTGTCACTTCTATGATACTTGTCACACTATATGCTCAAAGGTATTACAGAACATGAATAATGAACTGCTTTATACCATTATCTTCCTTATAACCTAAAATGTTTTCAATTTAAATTAGAAGGTATGAATTTTTTAATATGCATTCATATTGACTTTTGAGTTTAAGATTAACTGTACATGCAATAATGATAAAAGGGTAAATTATACACTGTGAAAAGATGAAAAAAATTTACTGATGTTTCGGAAGCTTCCTTCCTTCGTCGGAGTAAAAGAAATTTTTTCGTCTTTTCACGGTGTATAAATTACCCTTTTATCAATTTACTGTTTCATTAGAAACACCRACGCAGCTCACACTAGTTTTTAGCTAGTTATATATTTTTGTACATGCAATATGTCAGTATAGCTAGTCAATACTTAGCAATTATTAAGGATATAAGATTTTAGTACAATGAATAATTATATGCCCTGGCCTGTATATTATGCCAGAGGGATTATTATATAAACTATATATAAGCACACTAACTAAGCTTAAAAATTCATGTTAAATAATTCATGTATTCTTAATTAACTTGGAATAAATACAAAGGAAACTTAAACCAGATTAATTACATAAAGCACAACACATGTAAACATTATAAAAACAACGAAAGCTCATTTTTATGACTGCGATACACCAAGAGTACAGACATGCTATGTCTATATAGGCCCTTTGATTGAATAAAGACTGTCATCCATTTGACAGATGTCATTGATTGTAAGTTTTATAAAAGTGCTATATGTGCTATCATTATCATTACTTCAAAACCTATTAGATTAGTCCTAGTCCTGTACTGTGCATTATCGTCAAATATAATTCTTGTAATATAAACAAATTCTCATGAGAATGGAATGCTACTTAATAGATTGCACTTTGTACCTAATTTATAGCAATACCATAATATAGCTGACTCATAGCATTCATAAATTATTCATGGTATACAAAAGAAATCCAAATGTCCCTGGTTGGGATCTTCTTACATTATAATAATGTTCAACATAGCTGATTTAAAAAGAAAATTATATCTATAATTTTTTTTTAAGAAGTAAATTCATGCGACTGCAATTTTTTGACTTTGTTGTTAATAATATTGAGATAAACTTATGAAGGTTTTCAACTTTGTTTTCAAAAATAAACATATCAAATTGAAGGCCATAAGTTAAATATTGCATATATTATTACATACAACACTAATAATGAAGCGATGCAGTTTTGAAATCTTAAGAATTTTAAGACATCAGGATTTAACTATTCTAACAAAGTATGGACATTTTTCAAGTTCATTCAGCTGAGAAAAACGAGGAAGAAACGAAGAAGATATTGAATTGTGAAGTGGATTATCTAAAGTGCTTTTCCTTAAGGAATCTTTTATAGGTTCAAAACATGAACACTCAACATTCAATAGCATAAACAAAACCTTACTAATCATATCTAGACAGTAAGTCTGGAGAAATTGATAATCTTAGCATGAGGTGGGATTGTTAATTTGGAAACACAACTGGGAGTCCACATGGGGTTACATTAAAAGAATCAGTCAATAATTATCTATTATACTATCCACTTCAGCATTAATTAATTCATGTCATTCCAGGATTTTCATTATAAGTTTTGAAATACTGGCAGAGTTTTCATTAAGTTTTGAAATAATAGAAGAAGATCATGGTAGCTAATTTAAGCCTTCTGTTTTGTGTCTACAGAAAAAAGTTCATGGAATCAGCTTAGTCATTATGCAACTAAAGACGTAACTTAATTTGACACTTTGACAATACCGAGATCCTAGTTCAACCCATAACACTAATTATACAATGCCGCTACAACAATATTAAACAAATAAGAGTTCATAGAGAGACAAAAACAAAGATAAGATTGTGTCAAATACTAATGTTCAATAATCAGAAATGAAAATTAATATCATATGCACTATAATGGATCATAACCAAGTTGACGTTATGATACTTAAGGTATAGGGTAACGATTCATTCATGTAAGTATAGCCAGAGTATTAGTAATGAGAAATATGATATTCTTGAGGTTGTGTCCTCGATATATGCTGCCGTGCACCAGAAAAGTTAAGGTTTAGATGAAATCAAAACATTGAAAGGAATTTTAGATGTTTAGGTTCCTTGAAGTCTGAAATCTTTTCTAATCTTGATATCCATGGCTATCTTTGTCTGTTTAGTGACTTTGTGATGAGAGTTTATCATTTAATTGATCATTTGGCTACAAATACAAAGAGTTTAAGGTATGATGTGTTTATAGAAAGGTCTGCCAGTGTAGGGGGTTTTAGACTTTAATAACCCCACCTATGATCAGAATTGTTATGACGATAACTTTTAATGGATTTCTTTTCAAAGTCACAAGCCATGACCAGAAAGGGGGTAAGGATCGTTTTCTTAACCATTTCACAGCTTAATTGTGCAACTAACCGCCTGYGGCACTTGCCAGAACGTTATATACATTTACCATATGTTTATACGTAATTTAGTATTCTACAAAATCTTTGCAGAAATTTTCATAAAGAAACTTCAAGAAGAGAGTGATTACTTCATAGTGCACATTTTTTTACTGATGAAAAATAGGAATATGAGGATATCATATCAATAAATAATAATCTCTAATATATATAAATAACCTATCTTTATGTAACAGAGATTCTTTATACCTTGACAGGCTTTGCCACCTTGAAACACTTAATCACAGTACGTTACTAATCCACTTATTTATAAGACACGCAATAAAAAGCCAAAAAGATATGGAAATTCCTAAATTTTAGAAWTTTGAGATAAAAGAGCTATAGAGTATTTTGTGAATGATGTCATGTAAGCTTATTTTAGCTAGAAAGGAATGCCGCGCTAAAACACTTTACTCGCAACAACATATTCCAGTTATGTTTATTAAACAACAGAATTTGACGAGTGTTTTAATAGTAAAATTTAGTGAACACATGGATCATAGGAATGAAGTATTTAAAATGTTTGAGTGCGTAGGACTTACTTAAATACATATCATTCATGACTTCACAGATTAACTATGTATAAAGGACCACAAAAGCACAAGCTAGCTTCTCAAATAACGGCTATCACTAGGGCTGACAGATTTGCTAGAGTTCAGCGCGGTTAAAGCTGTTGTCGAACCGCAATTCACCCCCAAATACACAGAAAAAGATAAGATATCCTTCATACCACGAATTGTCAAATCAAGAATAACATGGCCATTCAACAAAGGAATCGTTCAAAGTGAAGAAGACTTCATCACCACGTTAATAACCTGTATTTTAACTCTTATTTTAACAAACAAATACACTAAAACAGAGCACAAGGTATATCTAAAAGCTCGAAACATAATATAGGTGTTATTTGATCTCTCAGAATAATCATTCTGGCGGTTTTCTGTCTATGTGTTTTTAGGAATATCAAATATTTCTGTCCCCTTTCGGCTATTTCTGCGGTTTTAACCCAACTTCAATGGAATATCTTTCAACATCATCAGAAGATAAGCCGTTTTTTTTCTTTCGTCCTTTCCTTGATAGTAAAGACTGAACAAAAAGAGCCATTTGTTCTTTGAGAATAGTAAAATTCTACTTAACAGTGACTTTTCTCGCTTTAGGATTGTAAACTTATTATCGACGTGCATAACACAATAGTTCAGCTTTTTAGGGAATTATTTACAACCGGTCATCACCGTCAGACGTGATTTAATAAAAAATTCCACTATCCTATGCATTTGTGAATAGGAGGTAAGAATTGTATAGTAACTGAGTTACTGAGGGAACTAATTCGACCTTATATTTCAATACCAAAATTACAAAAGGCATAAAAGGGTTTTTCGCTTCAAGTTCAAGTATCGCGTTGGTTGCTTTCAATCGGTTGTCTTACCACAAATCATGTTTTTAACGGAGTAATAAAATCTCGGATGTATAAGTAAAGAGGTTTTGCTTCAACAGTCTTCGTTTTCTATCTCGGTAAAAATCAGGGTGAATAAATAGGTTCAAAGGAGTACAAACAATACTCACGAAAAACTGACTGCGGAAACAGCGAACATGTTCGTTCACGAAGACTTTTGACTCACCTTCTTAAAACTTTGCCCTAAAACAACGGTTAACCAGATGATTCCCTTAAGACTTGATAATTAGTCTTGAGATATATTCCCATACAGGCTTTCCTTTCTCAATCCTTGTTCAAGGTTCAGGTTAGCGCTCAAAATCCTTGTTTGTTAGAAGACTGGATTTACGTTTCAAGTCTTGTAAATGGAGATACTCGTCGACTTGCGGTAGGTACTTGGCAGCTGTCAATCAACCAGAACCCACTACAAAGCTTCTTTCGCATAAGAGTCACACAATTTCGTCATGTCCGGAACAAGAACAATGCAAGTATTTACTCATCGTTTGTGCCTGAAAGCCTCTAAATGACCTAAATTCATCCATCCATTGGCAGTAAAAATACGAGTTTGAAAGCTTCTCAAGTGCAAAATCGATTATCAAGCTGTTCACTTTGAAGAAAAATGTAAACGTTCTTGTATTTTAGTAGGGCCAAGTTTGTCATTTCCGCCGGAAGTAAAAAATCTCACTCAATACAATTATATTTTGTTCTATCTAAGAAACACCTGGACTGATTATGCGAAAAAATCATTAGTCTTTCTGTATACCAAAGTACTTTTCTCTAATCTATCTAAATTATAATTACTAGCCAAAATTCAAAACACTGTATTTGAATAACATTTTGAATAAATTCACAGTGTATAAGAAGCAAAAATAATGAACACGAACAAGTCTCTTAAAAATGGCCATCAAATTGGTTTGAAGTTTTTTGCTATCGACAAACGCCTGCTTTCTTTGATATGGTTAATACAGTTTTGAGTTGCAAGGCCCGGTTGGGAGCGGCCCACTTTGCATTGTCCCATTCATAAAAGCAATGCTCCCATTTCATAGACCATCTCAATTTGCATACTAATCAAAGCGATAATGAGAAGAAACGATTTAGCTTATGTAATGGCTTTGTTCCGTAAATGACACCATCTGTAAATACAAGGCACGAGTGAGTGGAAATGAAATTCCTAATCGCTTTTCAAACGCTCGTTAAGACGACAGGCAAGTAATATAAAGAGACGCCGTTGTGGATGACATCAATTGCACTCTTTTTCGAGCAAAGGAAAGCGTAGGGTATGGATAGAAAACGTGCAGCTAAGGCCGAGACATAGATACCAAGCAAATAAAGATAAAAGCAGCAAGAGAAAAGAAAAGAAAGAAGAAGAGTCTCGCGGTATCATGTGGAGTTCTATGGCATTTTATCCCTCTTCTAAATAACTGTGGTTTGACCAGACGAACGTTAACATTCACAATCTCATACTGTGGCCCTCGCGGTACATGTATTGAAAACACACAATCCAATAAAAACGCTCGTAAAAGCATTCAACCTTTGAATATCAAAATATAGCTCTAGTTAAGACATTTTTCAGCGGACCAAGTCGCAATATCTATCTCTCAATATAGTAGCTTACAGGGAAACATGTTTTTGCGTTTTTCCCTACAGGTGGGGAGGGATAAGAGCGGCTGCACACAGTCAATTCACGCAGGAAAGAGAGGCCCGTGAAAGCGGCTGCACTCAGAATATGAGCGTACATCTAATGTTTTTTTTCCCTTCGAGGTGGCAAACGCATGGTACTGTGGTCCTTCTTGGCTTTTGTAGTTTAGAAACACCACAACTCAATATTTGGCCCTTCGTAGCTTTTCCACTGATATGTCTAAATACAGTTTTTTATTCCACTCCATGGCCAATCTAACTTGGTAAGTCGGAGTGGAATGACAAAAAGAATTTCCTGTGCCACTTGAGAGATCTAGACTTCCCCGCTGATCCATCTGCGTGGGGCCCCTGGCACCATTTGGCTTGGACATCCGTTCGTCATATGATCGAGTATTCATTACATCATTTCTTAAAGCAAATCCTGGAAAAACTATTGTATTGTGTACCGATACAATCAATTTCAATAAACATACATGATTTCGTTTCTGGCCTTGTAATTTCCGTTTGTCTGGTCGATTTCCAGGACCTCCTCGGCTCGCTGCGTTTCCTCTCCCGATCATTACGATACGATGGAACGGAACAAGAGAAAAAAACACGTAACGGATGTTTCGTGCCGTGACCGTGACAGTAAGGTGTGTGGGATTTTTTATTGGCTGGGCATTAACCTAGTTGATTGCAAAGCTTCTTTGGCCTAAGCCATTCATGATAAAAGGGGAAAATACCAATCTTTCAATGACGGAAATTTAAGTCGTTGTTTTGACTTTAGTTCCAACAGTTATCTTAGATACCCGCATTGAGTTTTTAAATTTGGTTTACGAGACTAAAAGGGTTTGCTAGTCCTAGATATCTTCATTATTTAAGTCGGAAGGGGGGGGAAAGACCCACTGAAAAAAATTTGAGGGCCCCCCATTTTCTCCTCCAGCCCCCCTCCGACTTAAATAATGACTGGTCCCTTATTAGACCAGTTTCTTGACTGTAGAACGGCACGATAATGGTACAGAATTGATCATTTGGACGCGCAGAGCGGGTAGAGGGAGGGAGGGAGGGAGGGAGGGGGGA